AACTATAGGCTACAGATCACAGTGTAAAAGTGAACCACCACATCACTGCTGATCGCCACAGAAGACAATGAATATAAAGGGAGACTTCACTGATATTGAACCAGCTGTGTGGCATCACAGAGTGTGCAGATGAACAGTGTTTGGCTTCACCCCCGTGCCGCTGCCAGCACTCGGACCTCCGCCTCTGGACAGGCAGGGATCTCTGGGGGAAGTCAAACAACATTCATCTGCACACACTGCGATGAAACACAGCTGGTTGAATATCAGCAAAGTTTCCCTGCTTCCCTTCACTGCTTCCTGTACAGCAGGGTCGGTCTTTATTCAGTGTTATAGTCATTAAAAAGCAAAAGCAGCATGTGTATACATTCAGCAGGCTATATCTTCAGTAGCTAGCTAGCTAACCCTACACTTTTCAGGGTTTGGTTTTGGTTTTGGAACAGGGAAGAAACGTGTATCTTTTTCCAACCTCTCCAGGTAACGAGTATCATTAATACACGACGTGCCCCAGGCGCAACATTTAGCTCCAAATCCACAAAACCCGCCTGAAAATGAAGGAAAGCTGAAACAATTGCATTAGAGTCAATGGAGCACAGCTGTGTTGTTGTCAGACCCTGGTCTGAGCTGGCCCAATGCTACGTTATGATTGGCCAGTCTGCGTCTGGGGGCGAGACTTAGTGAAGAGTCAATTATGAAGCGCCGCAGGTCCTGGAGCATACACAATGTATGCACATATATGTGTGCATACATGTGCATACTAAATATGAGGGTGATTGGTCCAGTAGTTTGCGGTATTAACAGCATACACACAGATACACATACTCACAAACACAGGCTTATGCCTGGTGGGGATAATAACCCTTTATGGTCAAAAGCAAAAAGCACACACTGGCATTACTGGTAGTGCTTCATATTCTTGCAATGATCCCTCTGTATGAAATAAAACCTCTGCCAACTTCTACTGTTTTGCAACTGCTCATTTTTCTGTCTTCAGGATGTGCTTCAAGACAAACCTGTATCTTTACGCAGTTACACCTATGACAGGTGTGTGTCAAGTTTTTCACTGTCTTTCAGCTCTTTACAGATTCTGTTATAATTTTGTTTGTTGAAAATATGTCACCAACCATATTTTCAACTTTTCCTTTTTAGTCTCAACTCTGATGTGGCATCTGGTAAGGAAACAAGTGACGGCTATGACAGCTTGGCTAGTGGAGGCAAGGGGGACGGAAAACCCAGGAAACACCACCGCAAGTCTGCTCGCACACGCTCCCGACAAGAAAAGACCAGCAAACCCAAACTGAGCATGCTCAATGTGAGTCATGGTGCAATTTATGACAATTTGAAGTTACATACTTGCATAAAGTGTCAGTGTGTCTGATTGTAAAGTGTAACTTGTGCCCGCTCAGGTTTGCAACACTGGTGATAAAATGGTCGAATGCCAGCTGGAGACTCACAACCACAAAATGGTGACATTTAAATTTGATCTGGATGGAGATGCTCCGGAGGAGATTGCCACTTACATGGTCAGCTGAACCTTTTACAGTTTGCAGTTCTGTGTCATTTATTGGTTATATTTGACACTGTTAACGTCTTTAATGCTGTGTGCCTGCAGGTAGAGAATGGGTTCATCCTTCTGCTAGAGAAGGAGATCTTCATTGACCAGCTGAAGGACATTGTGGACAAAGCTGAAGACATGCTGAACGAAGACATGGAGGGTGAACAGGCCACTGCCTTGAGTTGCAGTCCTGAACAAGGCCAGATTTCCGAAGGACTGGTTGGAGAGGTAAGAGAGGGGTAGATTTGAATATAGTATAATTCTTTTAAAGCCTTACATTGACCTGCACCTCCTTATTTATCTGAGCTACTTCAACCATTTCCACTGACACGGCCTCTTTGCTCTCTTAATTCTGGTCTTCTTGTCATTGCTTCAACCAACAAAAAATCAGTTGACCTCAGAGAGCTTACTTTAGGGTTCAGAATTTAGACAGGTTCATCACCCTTTTAGACCTGTGGATGTTTGTTCTTTGGCTGTTTTAATTCTTATTATTTATTTATTCTATTTTAACATTCACTTTAACATTGATGTTTTTAATATGGTTGTTTTATTTAATTTTTTATTATTTATTATATTCAATCATAGCCTTTAGAATTTATGTTTTTAATATGGTTGTTTTATT